AAAAAAAATAATGTTTTTTTTTTCCATTTTTTCAGCTGTAAGGATGTTCTTTGTTTGGCTAAAGATTCTCCCTGATTAAAAAGCATTTAAACGACAGTTTAGTAAAAATGGCTACAGAAACAGCCCATCTTCCAGCTGCTTCTGATCATTCCCAAACTACATCCTTCATAGATGTGAGCTTTCAGAAACAAGAGATGTGGAGCAAATTAAAGAATGGCCGGGCGCTCGACAGCTGACCAGATGACGCACGGTCACTTGGGGTGTAATAATACATTGATCCACATTTATATACAGATTAATTATTTGATTCAGTTACATCAAGACTTAACAAAAATGTTGATCCATTTCGTCATCATATGTCCGTTGTGGATCGATATATTGATCGCAGACTTGTGAATTGAATCAAAAGTGTATCATGACAGACTTTGTGATATTGAAGAAAAATCATAATGTCATCCAAACAAGTCAATATAATTTCGTATTACGATAAAGCTGGTGATTTACAACCCTAGCGGTCACGTGGTAGCAGGATTGTTGCCTCAGACACCTTCCATAGGCCAACGAGACTATGTACTTGTCACTGCAGGGGTTTCTTCCCACTGGAGTCTCCACTCTGATATCCACTGTTACTTTGGCCACAAGTCTGTCACGGTTAAAGCACCACAGTTTTCAGCAGACAGATTACTCTGTGCACATCTATTCTATCTCCATTAGGTCTGCCATAAACGATTATTTTTATAGTCGACTAATCACCAATTGTTTTTTTTGATTAGTCGACTAATCAGATCATACGTTAATTGACTTTTCAGAATTGTTTTGTATAGTGATATTAATTTATATTTTCAGATCTTCCAAGGTGCCAATTATGGAACTCTCTGTGCATTGTTGGCCAAATCAAATTCTGGAAGTGGTCATTCAACTAGATCTGTTACAAAAGGACAACTGATATTACCAACTTTTAAAAACTGTTACGGCCAGAGGTCTTTCTTCTATGTTTATACTAAAGCATGGAATGACATTCCTCAAAACATAAAGTCCATTTCAAAACTACAGCCCTTTAAGAAGAATCTTGTCTGRCATCTGCTGGACACTTTTTGTTGTGCTCATATTTAGACGTCCTATTTTGCAAATGCTGCCTTTTTGGAATTTGGTATGCTTGTTTGTCTTTGTGTCTATGGTGTAATAATAATGATGTGATTGTGATGCGGTATTTCTGAGTGTTTTATGTGCTGCAGAACAGGAACCTGCTGTAAAACAGCAATTATGCTGAGTCAGGCTTGATTTTTAATAATCTTTTCCTGTTAAATAAATAAATAAATAAATCAAATCAAATCAATTGAATATAAAACGTACATCTTATCGCGCCAGAATGCAGCTCTTATTATATAACTATCGTTTAGATTTTAGCTATATGCTAACTAAAAATAATTGCTGTGGAAGGCAAGTTCTGCCTTGCAGATATTGCATTGCACAGGTTTCTCTTTCATTTTCTTAAAATGATCCCACACTTTTGAGCTCCGTTGGCGGGTAGCCATAATACCAGAGCCTGTCTGTATAATGTCTTGTGATATCCAGGGCCTACCCCGGTTACCACTACTGTGCATGTGTGACAGGAAGGCAGATGCAGCAGTGGAAGGTGTCAAAGCAGTTTGGAGAGAAAAAACAAAGTAAAAACAAAAACCGACTAATCGACTATTAAATTAGTCATCGACTATTTTAATAGTCGATTAGTCGTTGACTAGTCGACTAATCATGGCAGCCCTAATCTCCATCCATTAGTTTTTAACCATTTGACTATCTTTATAAGTGTGAAGGAAATGTCAGATCCCGTTTTGTATTTTATACTTTTTGCAGCCATATAGTTGAAAGAGAATGAGAGTTGGTGTGTCTTATCATACAAGGCCCACGTTCTAACGTCTGACGTAAAAGGTACCACCTCCAGGGGTGTGACCAGGAAATCAGACACATGCTAAGAGGTTGACTCATCATGAGTTTGTCAGGTTTTATTATTTATCGAGTTTGCAGTCTTCTCTCTTTGCTAGTCCTAATAAGGCCCAAGGCCTTTTTACTCTGAGGCGAAAAGTTTGCTCGGGCAAGTGACATGAGTCTGGAAACAAAATGACAACTACATCAATGACAGCAGATTTCGTGGGTTTGGATAGACCATGCAGAGGCCTTAAATGTGTGACGCTTCCCCCTCTTACCATTTTCAAAACATGACGAACTCAGTTTAACAATCCTCTTTGTAGCTAATATAGCGAATAGTTAGGAGAGAAACAAAGGTGACAACAATTTCTGTCTTACACTACAGTTTTACCAGAGGTCAGGGATCATGCTCATTCAAGCTACACTAACCAGATTTTAAAAACTAAATTTGTTGTGTGTTGTCATCAGACTTTCCCTCAATAACATTTCTGTTTTTTCAAGTGGTCACACAGACCGTATGTCATCGCATCTTTGAGCTACGAAACAAGATTACCTTTTCACATATTGACTGTTGAGGCTCTGTTATTACCATGGCTGGTTTGTTCCATTTAGAAACTGCATTCAGAAACTGAATTCAGAAACTGAATTCAGAAGGCCAATTGGCATCCAAGGGTTCTGTGAAAGAGTCTAAAATTTGAGGATCAGGAGAGACAAAGAAAAATTTTGAAAAAAAAAGGCTCCGTTTTATTGTGGTTTCTAAAGCACACAATAATAGTGGGTATACACAAAATTGGCAAGTGCATAATAGTTTCTAAAAGGCTCTGTACCTTGAGTCTACACAGTTCAACCAAAAATGTTTCCCTCCCCAAAATCACTACTTTAACAAACATTTCTCTTTCATTTTCCCTCAACAAAATACAACATTTTAAAGCATAATAATCTAAAAATTTCCTAAATAGCGGGCCAATTTAAACTATTCACCCACTGCGCAGCTGAGACAATTCTACTTTAAAAGCTTAACAAGAAATCTTGCTTTTATAGTTCTCTCGAGCATCAGATCAGACTTGTGCCGCAAAAATAATTGAAAATTTTAAGACGTAGGAGAGTAATTGGCAGATAAATAAGCTGCTTTAAAACGAGCACCACAAACATGAACAGAAAAATTGATTCCTCAGACTAAAGAGATTAAAAAAAAAACATGTCACGCTAAAAACTGATCTCATCTCTAAAAAATATTCAAATTACAGCTGCCACTTAGTTCTATTAAGGGACCTAGTTTTGGAAATACAATGACACACCACATTCCAGTCCTTTTATTCCTACATTACTGTGGCATGGTGTAATAAATCATAGTTTGGACAGTGAGACACTCCCGTTTCATTACGCATGTTGACATTGTTTCACAAATGGAGGGAAATAAAAAGAAAGTCATGAATAGCTGGTAAGAGACAAGAGGTCAAACCGCAGACTCACACAAAATAAACAAATCGGTTTAACCGTCGTTATTGTAAAATATCATCTTTGCAATTTCTGCTTGTTCAACATGCTGAAATATTCTGTCACGTAGGAAAGCTTCTTCCTCCTCTCCTTGTATAGTAAACTGTGGTCTTATCGCTCGCCTGTTTGCATGCAAAAGCAGTTTTTGTTTTCTTTAAGACGTTCCAACCGCTTCTCCGCAGAACCCTCTCCTCTCTCTGGAGTTGATAAAATGAGTGAAACTGTCAAAGTCCTGCAGGCAGAATCACTCAGAGAGACAGATAAGATCTCTAATTAATTCAATAAATTCAAATGAACAGACTTCATCAAAAAACAGAAAAGAGAAGAAAGAACAAGGATAAACTGACACGCACCACAGCTAATTTGCCAGTTTGTTAGGTTTTTTAGCCACTTCATTAAACAACAGAACTGAATGTTAGTTTCTTAATGTCTGCATCATTAGTGACTTGTTTTAGTAGTAGGTTGTTTTCTAAAGCAGCCCTGATTAGGAGTCCTGCGTGACGCACTGATCTTATCTGTGACACATGAGAACACACACTGCACGCCAGGAGAAAGTGAAAACACACGTTTCCCAGACTCCTCGCAAGCCAGACACTGAACACATATTTGGGACACTCGCATGCCATAGGCGTAATTTGCAGGGGGGGTTAGGGGGGTTATGACCCCCACAATAATTTGATCCAGTCAATATAACACCCCCCCCCCCCCCCCCAATAAAATGACATCATTTGCTCAAACACAATAGAAATTAACTGGTGAAGTAGACAGATGCAACTCTCTTGTTGTCTTTAAGTAACTTTGACTTGATTTAAAAATGTACAATGTCACGTTTTCGAGCACAACTCCCCCAATGGTAGACTTAAAGTTATGCCCTTGTCGCATGCAGATGATCTCAAAATGGGGAGATTTAATCTCCAGGCCACAGGAAGCACACATATGTCATAAAGAATGACATCAGTTTGACAAACATTACAGTAATTTCCTCCTGGTGTTCAGTGTTTAGTCTTTCTGTACTCATGCTGACTTAAATACCTCATAATCTTCAGTTCCTCCAGTGTGAGAAAAACAACTCTGACAGCTAGAAAACTAAACATGTCAGGGTGCTATGCTTGTTAGTGCAAGATCAGAGCTTTTCTTTAATAATAATAAAAAAAAAACCTCCATGTATTTGTGTGTAGACATCCCGTAGGTGTGTCTGTGGGTGCAAGGCACTTACCATAAGCGCTCATAATTTTATTGAAGGGTTCAAATGAAAATTAAATATTTTTATTTAATTCTTAAGTAACTAACAAAACACATTAATGCAATTTTGAATCACATGAATTTATTATATAGGTGAGAAAACCACTGATTTCAGCACACATGGTAAAATCTTATTCAAAATGAGGATTTTTTTTTTAATTTAAGAGTGCACTTCTTACAAGTTCTTGAACAAATAAGTTAAATTAAATATAAATGAGAGTTTGTCCCACACAGCTATAAATTCACAATGAACCGTTCGAGAGTAGAAACTAATGATATAAAATGCTCTAATTTTCCATTCCGGTCTGACTTCAGGCAGCATTGAGGAGCCTTACCTCCTGACTCACCTTTGGTTCCAGCTGCTGGCGCTTTCGTCCATCCTCGGAGCAGGTTCTGCTCTGTCCCGGTGCCGCTGCCTCGTCCAGCGGGCTCAGCCCGCGTTCAAATACAGGAGCGAGCCTGAGCGTTCGTTCAGCTGAGAGAGAAGGCGGAACAACACCGGAAAACGAGGGCTGCCGCCTTCAAAATAAAACACCGCGTTGAAAGCTGCTCTGAAAAATCCTCACATGTACAGAGAATGCGCAGTTTGGTCGGGTTTTGTTTTAAAAAAAAGTGTAAAACATATGTTTTGTTGTTTTAAAGCTTCTAAGAACTCACACAGGGCAGTGCGTAGGCTTCAGGGGCGGAGCCAGAGGGGTGGCCAGGGTGGCACTTGCCCCTGCCTGGAACCTGATAGGCCACCCCAGGTGTCACCTCGGTTGACTGACAAGTCACTTCAAGCGGCTGTGGCATTAAAAAAATGCACAATTATAGTAAATGAGTACATGTAATTGTAGGTTTGTGTTTTTTTTCTTATTTTGTACATTTTTTGTTAATTGTGCTCACATGTTCTGTATGCCAGAGCTTTGCTGAAAGTGTTTTCCAATTTGTGAATTTTATTGTAACTGTAAAGAGGATATGCCTTAATGATGACAAAAATTTTTTTTAGTTGTGTAAGAAAGAGGAAAAGTGATAGGTCTACATAAATAGAAAAATGCATAGGGGTTGAAAATGGTCAAGAAGGTATATTTTTAGGCACACTTGAAAAACAAAATATTTTATTTTATTTGTATGCACTCCTTGAAAAAAAAACTTCATACATCCTTGCATAAAATGTTAGCTCTACTGCTAAATTAGATCTTACTGTTTGTTCATGTAGAAAACAACAAAACCCTTCCTTTTTGAATACATTTGTACCTTCAGGCTTCAAATACACAAATGTACACAAGCTTAGATTACGTTAAATTTACCAGACAAAGCCGACCTGAATACCCCACAGGTCATACAATTTTGATTTCATCATCCTTTTATGATCTGATTGTACATGTAGCATATTTCATGTAAACTGCAAGCTCATGTTTAGTCTGATCTTTTATGACATAATAAATTAATTAAATTAACTAAATTAAAAATAAAGGTTTAGGTGAAATTATTTTGGAGGTTTAGTGAAAATAATGACATAATGATTCTCATTTTTAAATACAAACATATTTATTCGCAATAAAAATAACTGCATTTATGTCTGTCACTTTTTAGACTGCTTTAAAACAATTTGGAACACACCTGAATCTTATTTTGAACGTTTTTACCGGAAGTTGTCTTTGTTTAAATGCTGAACTTGGCTGGTAAAGAGTCAGTCAGGTCCCGGTCCCCACTGCCCTTCCAGCTCCCTCCTGCCTTTCCTGCTCTCACATAAAGACAGCCTTGTTAGCAGAATAGCTCAAGACTTGGGCACAGCAGCAGGAAACACTACAGCCTTTCATTTGTAAAAAGCCAACACCGAGTCTAAATGTGAAGTCGAAACTACCTGAAGGGTTATTGTGGGGAAAATGGAGATATTTAGGATTTCTTGTTAGCTCAAAATGCTTCTCATAAAAGAGTGAAATCACAAAACCATGACATAATATTACTGAAAAAAAAAACATTTGTTTCATCAGGAAAGTTAAATTAAAAACTTTAGCAAATACCACAAATAGAAACTTTCAAATATCGGAAGCCCTTTCTTATGTTTTGGCCCATCATGCCATCATGAATGTGTCAGATAGTAAATGGAGAGTTTAACTGTGAAGCATAGAGGTGGGAGTGTCATGGTATGGGGTTTGAGTCTTTTGTCAAATGGCCCAACTTGAAAACAACAGTAGAGTTTAAAGAAAAACTGAGTTGTGTAAACTAGAAAGACTTTTAGTTTGACTCAGTTTGTTCAGTTGTGTAATTTAAAGCATATCTTCACTTGTAAAAAAATGATGCAATATTTTTAAGGAGTTACAGCACTGGTTTTTGAATCAGAACTAAGGTGGGGAAAGTCCTCAAAAGCCTTTTTGGGCACCACTCCAATTATTAAACACAAAATTTGCCTATCACATGCACAGTGCAGTGGGGCTTTCCTTTAGTTGTAAACAGATCGTTCCCAATTTGGAATAAGACTTTACATAAACCATATAACAAATGTATTCAATTTTATGCATGTTCATTCCATTGTCATCACTTTCTTTCTCCCTAACTTAAAAACCCTCAGTTAATACTAAAATGTGATATATTAGTAAATATTTAACTAAATTCGATACCGTTAAAAGCTAAACTGTAATTTATATTTAATCCAGTTTAGTTACTGCTTTCATAAACATGACACCACAGTGACCTCTTGTGGCATGAAGCGAAACTGCAACTTGACCAGCTCTAACTCTGGGAAATAATGATGCAAACTAAACTGGATGTCATAACCCCAACGTTCACTTTGAAGTGCAGCAGATGTCTGCGGGTTTCTCAGCCATCTTCTCAACAAGCCAATTTGTAGTCTGGAGCTTCATTTTACGTCAAGTTACATCATTTTAGCTGGCAAGATCTAAGAAAGCTCCCTCTGCAAAGCACCGTCCACTGCCGAGTTTCACCCTGAACACAACAATTAGCTGGGTTGAATTCTTTGAGGAGTTTTTCTTAAAGCAAACAAACCTGCAGAGACCAGCGGAGTGTCATAAAGCCACCGCTCTGATTAGATGTTGATTGCACAAAGTGATGGCAGCAGAGTCAGCACCCACAGGGAGAAGAGACAATTAGGATTCAGAGATGTGAAAGTGCCAGCATGCCGGAAAAATAAAACCTTCCTGAGGGATTTCTGCCTCTTAATGAGACAAGAGAGAATGTGTTTTTGTCTTAACCTGGTCTGATTGATAAACACAACATAAATCCACCCAAACTCACATGTTGTTCATCTTTATTACTAACTCATAAAAAAGGCAGCTCTGAATAGAGCTACAACTTGTTTTGTTTTTTGAAGATTATATACAAAAGGTACGATTTAAAGCCAGAAAAATGTCTTTAATAAAAGGGAATAAGCAGAAGCTTTAAAAAACAGTGTTATTTAAAATAAACTGAACAGCTAAAGACATAATTTCCCTAATGGATAAGCCTGAGATTTATCTTAAATGCATAGGATGTTTGATAAAGATGTGCAATTAAAGCAATGTTTTTTCCAAAGCTGTTATCACATTATGACTTGAAAGCAGCAAAAATAAAGTACAGTTTACTTTTTTATGTTTAATTTTGATCAAAAATAAAGATAATTTAGTATTTAAAACAAACCTTTTGTTTGTTCGGTTATTTTATCTTTACTTCTGGCAACTGAGAGCAGAAACATTTTTACAGGCTTTGTTCGACTCTCGAGTTTCGTTTTGACTTTTCCTCTAACCCTTAAAGTTCTGGAAGATCTCCGCAGCATCCAGCCAGGACCTGAAGCAAGCCAGGCCTCGCTCTCGGATCTGCTTCCTGCCCTTGTCGGTGATTACGTCGCCATTCTCCTTCACGATCACAAGTCTGGGAACGGCTGTGACGTTGTAGCGCTGCTTCAACTCACTGGAAAGAGAAGAGGGAAAAACAAGGTGATTTGCAAAAAAAAAAAAAAACACGAATTAATTTTTTTAAATCTTAACCAGCTACAGTGCAACATTTGAATGCTGTTTGTTTACTGAATTACTTGTATTGATGACTATTTTGTCTGTCAGATTTAAGTTAAATGTTCGACTAATGAAACCAGCAGTTCATGCAGCTGCTTTAATATTTTCTGATCATGTTTAATTCCTTTGAGAATTACTAAATAATACATATTGAACATATAACTCAAATTCTTTAAAAGCTGGGACATTGAAGTTAGTTTAGCTTAAAAATTGAACCATAACACTTTGTAATAAGACATTTAGTCAGAGCTGCACCTCAATGAAATTTAAAAAAATTAAGAAAACATAAATAATAAAATAAAATGTACATGAAATATATAATAATAATTGGTTTTATGTAGTTGAACTGTTATGCTCATCTACAACACAAATAGGGAACTGATATCACTTTAAAATACAAAGAAATAAAAGATGAACAAGCAACATAAAGTAAAACAAGACAAAGATTTACACAGGTCTGTTTTGCGTTTAATCCTAATCCCTGACAGGGTGACCCCACACAATCCTGCACAGCCCATTAATCTGTGTAGACTGCTTTAATTTAACCCAATTATTTAGTGGCACCGAACTGAAGCACTTAATAATGTGCCTCTTACTGCTTGTATTCATCCGTCCAGGGTAAAGCCAGCCAGTCTCCGTGCATGTCGTGATAATATTCCACCATGTCGTCGGGAGACTTGTCCGAGGAGACGAATACTATCTCAAACTGAGCAGGGTCGCTCTCATCCACCAGCTCCGTGTAGAAGTCACACAGGACCGGGGTGAAGTCCTGGCACGGAAGACACCATCCGGCAGAGAAGTAAATGCCCACCACTTTGTTCCTCAGCGCCTCCTCCGGGTCGACGAAGTCACCGTCTTTGTTCAGAAGTGTCCGGCCGGAAAACACCTCCACCATGTCTGCCACAACTCCCTCTTTGATCGCCCCCCAACACCGAGTCACGGAGGTTTCTAAAGCCTTGGGTGTCCCCGTTAGCTCATACTTGCTCCGTTTTGTTGACTGCGAGCGTCGCCGTCGTCGAGTCTCAGAGGAACGCTTCCCGTTTCACCTCTTAGCTAAAGCTAAATTAGCTAAATCTCCTTACAGCCAATCCTGGTAATCACCTGCTGACCAATGAGAGGACGAGAGCCGTGCAGGTGCACGTGGGCTTTCATTGCGTTGTTGCTCTAGTTACTGTCAACAACTGCGTGCAGTCAGAGCTCACGCATGCGCAGTACCGCTTTTCCGGTCAAAAAAGTAGCTTCTAGAAAACTACAAACACACTACAAATTCAAGTCAGGGATATGACTAGGCTTAAATTAACTCAGTGAAATTTAAACTTTATTATATTATATTATATTATATTATATTA